TGGAGGGAAAAGAGATTTGATCCAATGTAAATATTGCTTTACCATAGGAGAGATAGTTAGGATTGTGTATATAATGTATTATAATATTTATTTGTGTAATAATTGTAATATAATTCCCTTCCCCCCATATTGAATCTTGTGTTGTGTCTGGAAAACCCCTCTCACACTGGGGTGAGTTGTGGGACGGGGGCTTGGACTTGGAAATTGGATTTTTGGGGGTCTCAAACCACCACAGTCCCGCTCACATTCATCCTTAAGACATTATTTTCAGGCTGGAGAGTCTCAGCCTTCTTGGCTGCTTCTGACCCACAGTTACTAATCACCTTTGTGGCCCTTCTCTGAACCTTTTCAAGGTCTAACACATGCTTTTTGAGAGGAGGGACTGGAAGTACACACAATATTGAAGGTATGTGTCAATTATTAAGTCCATAATGATTTTGTTTCGCTCTCTTTTCTTTCCCAAGTATCCCCAACTGCCACTGGAATCCGTGGTTTCCATGAAACAACAGTTCTGTTGACTGCAAGGGTAATTTCCATGCCCACCATTAAACATGAAGGTAACATCTCCAAATATCTTAGCATCACAAATTGCTCTTATCCAGTCTTTGCCCAGATGTATCCTGATCCATGACAGGAGATACCTGCTGTGGTATGACCATAAACAGAATGATTAAAAACCCCACAGCTATTAGGTGTACATTTTCTTACATCCATACATTATAGCACAGATCTATACCATTAATAATATTTATTTTTCTTCTAAGGAATGGGTTTACCTTCATTTTTCCACTGTATTTTGGATCCGAAATGGTTTCAAAGGCTGCATCTTTGCTTAACTGCACAAAATCTGGAAAACTGGAAAATACCTGGCTGCAAACTCGTTTGATATGTGCTTCCTGGAAGAAAAGCAGAAAGACTGAATAGATCTTAAAAATTAGAGCCACATTAGGATACCAGTAAGCCATACAAGGAGTTAAACAGGTTGAAATGTGATCTCCAAAGTATCTCAAGAAGAGTTATGTGTGTTTTTAAGTTATGTGTGTTTTTTATTCAGTTCACTACAAAACTGCTGGATAAAACACCCCCTGTGTGCTTTGCTTTGCTTCATTTAAAAACAAAAGAGATTGCTAATCTGAAACCATGGATTGTAGCTACTAGAGTAAAAGATGCTCAAAGTTTCTTCTCCTGGCCAAAAACTGCAATAGGACCGGCCAGAACTGTCAGTCTCAAAAAATTCTGTTGCCTTCAGCTTTGCATTACCCAACAGTTTTGTACCAGCACTTCTCTTGACCCACTGGCACAACAATTCCCAATATGGGAATTACTGATTTTGTTCCACTGATACAACAAAAAACTGCATGGGAAGTGCATTTAAACTGTTCAAGAGCCACATAAAGCTCCACTGCTAGAATTTAGGTCTGAACTTGAACATGACCTCACACTTTTAAGTCCACTTCTCCAGAGAGAAAGAAAAGATCACATATCTCACCTAAAACATGCAATGGACTTTAATACTAAAAGTAAGAAATTACTACAAAGTATCAGTTTCTTCAATGGATTTTGGCAGTTAATAGTTATGAATGGCGTGATAGACTAAATCAAAAATACTCATATTGTGTTATGTCAGAGGTTATTTAAACCCCAAATGTTATTACAACAAAAAACTACATATGGAATACAGAAAAAAAGCCCACTGAAAACACTTGGGTATATACTGTATATAAGCCCTTGGACTGTCAGAGTAACATTTCCTAAAAAGCAAAACTGCTTCAGTGGCACAAATTTGCAAAATCAGTTGGGATACTCTGATTTCTCTTCCTCGGTGGCTTCTGAGAGGAAGTGGTAACATTCCTAAATCCCAGTGTTCATTCCTGGATCTCAGGGATCACATCCAAGCCTTTCTAAAAACTCTGCTGTTCATGGGTCTTGTAGGTGACTTGCCACAGTAACAAGATAAACTCATAGTGATCTCTCATGGAGCAGTTCCTTCTAAAGCATGTTTCTCATTATTTAAACAAAATCAGCTCTTAATATAAAGTACTGGAGAAAAAAAGTGCACCCTAATTGCCTATTATTTATTTCTTTGCACAAAGTCATTCCTCTTATCAGCACCCATCATAAAGGTAACAGAAATGGCACTATTACAAATCACTAAAAATTACTCTCCCTCCTAATCTCTCTGATGTCTCTATAACCCTTATTTTCAGATATGCATCAACTAAATGAACACACTGTTTTGTATGATGTCTTCATAAAGTCTGCATTCTGAAGTGCTGAATGGAAAAGGAATTTTGCAAAATATCTTAACTGCAGTTAGTCAAGGATTCAAAAGGTCAGTAAAAATTTTCATTCAAGAGTTTTCATTCCATTTTCCACAAGATACTTCTGGAACCAACCTGTTGCTTGCTGGTGTTGTCTGTCTGCAGCAGTGCAGCATGATTGGCAACCTTCTGCAGGATCGTCAGGTAACTGAAGCGCAGAGACTTAATTGTTTCACCATGTGCATTTACCTACAAAAAAAAAAAGTTTATGCAAACAAATGCTCCTGAAAATAAGTAATAATCTAAAATAAATGCTATTCGTACCAGGTTTAAGGGATTAACAGTTCTAAGTAGAACCATAATTGACCCCAAAGAGATGTGTATTGTATTTTTAATAAAAAAGAAGCAAGTTTGGGGTGTTCTTTCCTTCAGCTTTGTGATTCTATTAATAGACACACCTTCTCAAACAGAAAAAACCCTACAGCCATGTTCATAGTTTGCTAAACATTTCAGAGCGTAATTTCTGTCGATGTCACACTAAGATAGCCAAGAACTGCTCAGTATACCAAAAGACCATAACTTTACACCTGACTTAAATGTGAATCAAACCAGCGCTGTTTGAATGACTTCTTACCCTACAACTCCTAACTTCACTTCTCTCTACAGGAAAAATGTAAGTTTTTGAACCTAATTCAAGCTTCAAACATTCATCTACAATACAGCAGCAGCTACTGCATCAGCTATTTTTCTGGCTACGACTGGCTGATTTCGATCAATATTTGTTCTCCTTTCCCTTCTCAAGTTACTAAATTTCATGGTTAACTTTGGAATAAGACAGTCCATAACATCACTTAACTATCTGCAGGCCTGCCTGCTGCCCTTTGTGAGTCAAGTTCAAGAGCATTTTGATTTTTCCACAAAACATACAAGAAACAAAAGCCTGCAAAAGAAGGTTGGTATCCACGGAATATTAAACAGACTGATAGGGGGATTGTGCATAAAGAAAGATGTGGAAGTCTGAATAAGCTACATCCTCTGGAAAAAAAACCCAAAGCACTACCCAAGAATCAAAACACGTCAGAAAGAAAACAGGGAGATGCAAGTATGAGACATGTGTTTCTAAATGTTTAAAAGAGGTGCTTAATCTGAGCCTACTGAGTGATGTGGGCAAAGCAAACACACAGCCAGACTAATGGAGCATTGAAGAAGTCCAGAGAAGATTGAAGAAATCTTCAAAGCTGTTACTGGTGGACAAAGTTGAGATTGTGCTCTCTGGTTGCCGTTACAGTTCTCACTTCAATGAAGCAAAACCAAGTGCATGTTTAATGGCACAGAAAGACACAATCCAGCAGAAGTTAGAAAACAAAGCCCAGACAATCTGCTGTGTTCAGGATGCCTCCATCTGCAGTTCTGCACAGGGGAGCAGCATATCTGACACATACTGAACATCCTAAGGAAGAACCCTTGCCAATACCAACTGTATCACAGGGGCACTTATTAATACAACAGATCCAGAATGTACTGCATAAATAACAGCCACCTGCTCAAGGCACAAAGAAGCTTTGCAGTATCCCAAAGTGCCTAACTCCACCAGGTTTGTGATGCCACCCATGCTTCCCAGCTGGGATTCCCCAAACAGATGGCCTACAACCAGGCAGACATTTCAATCAGCTCTTCATCAGCAGAATCTCTCAAGAATTCCAGAAGACTCTGCTCTAAAATTTAAACAGTGCAAATTCTTACCTTGTAACAACAGTTCTTCCTTTTCCTGCCGCTGTTGCAGCTACAGGGCTCTCCTGCTCGTAACACCAAGGTCACATCATCTGTCTCCAGCACAGCCTGGTACACGGCCTTCTGGAAGTCAGTCAGGGAACAATACACCATCTGCCAAAGAGAAAACCCAAGAAACACTGTTATGTGCAATGAAAAGCAAAAAAAGCATTGCCTTAAAGAACAGAAATCACAGATGACTGAAAATAGAAATTTGCTCTAATAGTTACAGGAAATTATCATACCAACGAAAGAAAAATATGTGGATCTCGACACCAAAAGAGCATGGAATTGTAGCCAAAATGTATGTATGCTCATCTTATTCCCTCCCAAAATTCTACAAAGAGTATCAATGTCAAGTTACAAGAACCTGCTGTTAAGTTGCTCAAAACCTTTCGGTATGGCTTTTGTGAAGGTAAAAGGAAGAGGAAGGAAAAGTGAGAGAAATACATGCATAATTTTAATTACAGATTCCTCTCTGCTTTGCAAGGTGCACAATTTGCCCTTTCTTTCCCTTTTTTAGGCACTAGCTATTGTGGGGCACCACCACAAGCAGGACAAACAGAATAAGCACTGACAAGGGAAGGATCTACACAGTGCTATGGCCAAAACTCTGATCCCTCTTCTTAGAGACCATGGGTGGCATCTCCATGACATCTTTAGTCTTAAGCAGCAGGAGACAGAAATCCCAAGATCATTCCTTAACCTATGCTACCCACACAGCAGCAGCACCATGCTGAGCTGTAATAATGCAGCAGTAACTTGAACATATACTCACATTAACAAGATAATGAAAAGAATAAAACCTGCTAGATTCAGAAAAGCGACTGACTGATGTTTGTGTTAATCTTTCCTTCAGAAGACAGCTCAGATGACATTATTATAAACTATGGATGAAGGCTAAATACCAAATTTTGAAAACAAAACCACCTGCAAATTTATATATTTGTCTACTTAGAAGGAAAGATTTATCAGAACTCTTAGCTATATTAGTAAAGTACTATCACTTCATACAATATTTACAATTGCACCAGATGAACAGGATTACATATTTATCATAGAATCAGCTTTATGTCTGAGGTTTTTCTTTTATTTAGGGATTGAGCTAAAAGCTCACAATTCCACACACAAAGTGTCAACCTGCAAATTCCGAAGTTCAACACAGAATTTCAGAGATTTACGTACATTGCTTTGGGTTTGCACAGATAAGTACAAAACCAGACAGAACAAATGTATAAATCACTAGTCAGAAGACTAGCTGAGCATTTTCAGGCTTAACTAACTCCTTTTCAACATGCAATCATATAATTACGTGAACAAAGCACACTATGGCAAGTGCACCTTTTCCAAGGCTACGGGTTCTTCTTAAGTTCATAAGACAAAAGGAAACCATGAACTATTACAGACACGATGAAAGAGAGAAAACACAACACAAAAACAGAAAATAAGAGATACATTCATCAGCACTGTATCTGAAGTGTGAAGGCACTCTTACTCTGTCTTCCTTTTTTGGCAGCTGGTCACTGATGAGTGCCTTGGTGCGCCTCAGGAACCAGCCAGACATTTTCCTTGCCAGGTTCACCATGGCCTTCCGGCCTGTCGCCAGCTCTCTCTTGGTTGCAGTGTGCCTCTGGCCGTGCTCCACCGGGTCAGAAAACGTCTTCTTGAAATCTGCTCTGCTACCTAGAAGTCCTGGTACAGCCCTATTAAGAAACAAAAGAGGGGACTGAAACAGGAGGCCAGGCCCAAAAGAGTTAAGTGAGAAATTTGGGCCTGCTAACAAACCCCAATACCTGTGTTGCTGGAAGAACATTTTAGGAGCACTGGTTAATATCATGTTCTGTTCTGCTCACTACACCAAAGGCCTTAGTACAGAAAGAACAGGAGTAGTACACACACAGTGATAAATTAGGTAAACTAGACCTTTGAATAAGATCTAGGAGGCCCAGAGCCAGGATTTTGCAAGCTTGAAGAATTCAGGTCACCTCATTGAAGAGGTCAGATTGAGGAAGACGTCCATGGTGACCAGCAGAGGGATGAAGGCTTGAGGAGAAGGCCCCCAGAGTAGAAGACTGGGCATATCTGGAAAGACTCTGCCCAGAGACCAGCCTGCTTATTAATATGTATAATAAATGATGTAACCATGGATCTAAAGTGTACAAAATGGCTTAGTTTTGCACTTGCAAGTAGAGCAAGTTTGTCCAGCGCAAGCTGGTTTGTTCCCAACGTTGAATAAACAAATACCTTGCTGCTTAAAGATAAAAAAATGTCTCTGAGCAGTTTCTGGGACTGATTTTTCGGATTCATGGGATTGATTTACTGACTGAAAGCATACCATCATTTTTTTTTCTGGCTAACAGCAAGAGATCTCAAATTAACAATCACTAGAGAAAACACTAAAAATTGTATGTACAAATAGAAATATATACTACTTTCAGATATGCCACTTCTCATTTGCTTTCTGTGACTCTCACACGCCGAGAATACCCCTTAGGAAAAGGTTTGAAATTTCCAGAAAAACAAAAGCTTAGCAGACCAACAGAAGTCACAAATATATAGAACTACAAGGCTGCTACCATCAAGAGCCTAAACTGGAAGAAAAACAGTCATGTTTTCAAATTTTACCGTTTTTATTAAATCAGATTATGCAGATATTACAAATCTACTAAATAAAATCTTGAGAAACCCAACGGTAAAAAGAATTTAGTAATCCTTGGCAGCACTACATATTGGAACAATCTATTAACAACAGAAACATAGCTTCAGTGGACCAGATGCAATACTTAAGTTTAAAGTATTTTTTCTGCTATTTCTGCTCTTTATATCCTTATATTTAAAGTATGTCTGCTTTGTTCCTCCTCTATAAAGCACTGCCAGTAAGTCTTCTCTGTTTAGGTTTTTATTTACAGTTAGTTGCACTTCTCTTTCTCCATTAGAAGTTTTTCTGGATAAGACCATTGCTTTGCAAATAAGTGCATCTGTGCACTTTCAAAAACAGCAAAACAGTTTTGTATTCATCCTCCAAGCAGGTCAGAATGACCTGCACATATTGGACAGAGCAAAGGCACAATGTTGGTCAAGGCTCTGTAATGATTTCCTCTCTACTGGGCAAAGGACAGAAGACATAAAAAGCATCCATAAGAAAAAAAAAAAAGGTAAATATGGTGGGTGGGGGAAGAATCTTTTTAACTGCTTCCCACATGTCCCAAAAAAGCCAGTTGTGAGGAGCTCCAAATGTACTAAATAACTGGAAAATTCATACTGAGGGCTCACCTTCACAGCTGCATTAAAACAAACACAGTTACACTCTCACAAAACATCCGGGGGTTTGAGACGGATGTTGTGGTTTGTTTTGGTTGTTTTTATGACACAGATGGGTCCATATCATCCAGTTCAATCCCATTCCCACTGCACAGTTAGCATATAGAGGTGTTCAACCATAAAAAAAAATAAATTATTTACCAGTCCATGACACACCAAAGTTCTTTCATGTTGTTCTGGAGAATGGTTCCAGTAAGACCTATGCGAACTTTGCATTTTAATGACTTCATGGTTTGAGTTATTTGAGCCTTTGGATTCTTGATTCTGTGTGCTTCATCCACTATCACAGCAGACCATTCTACACTGCAGATCAAAAAAAACATTTCATTAACTGACATTTCTTACCCTGTCATCCCACATACATAACAAAAGTGAAGGCAGACACACAAGGGGCTGCGATCATTATAATACACTATTTACTTTTTTATTTCCCTGTTTCACATTACTCATTACTATATTACTCAGTCTCTTTATATTCTGTTTGTTTAGTAAAATTGATTGCCATAGTTGAATATGGCAGAATATAACAGCTGAACTACACAGCCAAATAAATGAAGTACTGTTAATTTTATCAAATGCTTTCTGTGAAGAAAGCAGATTTCAATCTCTGGAGCAATGAAGGCAGCACATCTCACCAATATTAGCTCTGCTCATAATTATGATTTACAAAAAATAAGTAAGTCTCTGAACATAAACTGCTGAAACATGCTTCATCCTCCCAACAAAAACTATCCAGTGTAACTAGCAGTTGGCTGAAAACATTTCAATCTGCGTGGTTTTCTACAAGAAAGCAACTCACTCAAGAATATCAACATGATACCAATATGGCAGAGGAATTTCAATATTTTGTGACTGTGACTAGAAGGAACATAACTAGAGGTAGTCACCAACAGATATTTTGCAGCCAGTTCAAGCACAAAACTTAAGGGTAGAATGATCTGTACACAATTATACTAATTTAAGCCATCAAGTCCCTATGAGGGTATTTATTATGAGTTCACTTTACATATATGAGTGAATATTTCAGAACACAATATTCAGTTTGATGATCCTTCAAGGCTATAAAAAACTGAAACAGATATGTTTAGTAGAAAGCGTCTATCCTGAGTAGGCTGCATTTAGCTAATCTCAAGGCTCTTGTGAAATTTTTGATACCCACTAAATACATTCATTCATATCAGAGTTCCTAAAATATGCTAAAAATTGGAGTTTCTGAAAGGAGCCTAACAGACATCCATAGGCTAGCTCCTTCCACTTAATCTCTAATTATGCTGGTTTACAGGCATAACTGAGCATATGTATTCTTATCAGTGATAGCTAATTATTTAAGAGCAGTTTTTGAGGCCAATCCAGTTGTCACCAGTTTTCAGGCAGGCAACTCCTGCATCTTTTAGAGAACATGTCAAAAATGTGCTAAAAGCAAAGACTAGCTTCATGGAAAGTATTTAAACATTTACTGCCACCAAGTACCCCACTACAAAGATACTACAGGCTAAAGTCACCAAACAGAGTTAAAGGGGATTCTTCTCTTCAGCACAGTGAGTTACTGGATTTAACAGTGTAATGTAAATACATCACACAGAAAAAGTACTTGCAAAGAACAAGGCACAATTAGTTAAAATTCTATGTGTAGAAAAACACATTAAAACTATTACCTGTTAAATTCATCCAAATACAGGCGAAGTATCTCGTATGTTGTGAGAGCAACCTCATATTTCCCTTGCTTGATGCGACTCATGTCATCATCTTTTTTACTGCCATGTAAGACAGAGACCTTAAAGTATCCCCACGTGTCTAACTCATCCTTCCAGTTGTACAGCACTGAAAGAGGGGCCACTATGAGGAAAGTCTGAAAACAAATATGTATCACAGTATTACTCGAGAAACCACAACACAGCAGTTTCTCAACAAGGAAAGTCAAAATCTCAAGATTTATTTTACTGCTTTGAACGGTTTCAACTGTTTAATTCTGTCACTTCAAAACATAGCATGGAAAATATTGGAACAGTTAGTACAAATTTAAAAGTAATCAGTTTACTCTGAGTACATAAATAGTACAGAAAAAAATACTGTAATACTAAAATTAAATACCAAACAGGACTTCTTAGTCAAATTATACTTTAACAACTTCAATAAGATGTGAAACACTATCACTTTGCTTTGTTATACCATCTGTATACCATAAACTGTTTTACAGATGAGAAAACAAAAAGATGAAGAGGGTAAGCAGCTTCCTCCAATCCACAAGTCTAGTCATCATATGACTTCAAAACAAAAAGACCTGAGAAGGGTTTAAAAACTTAAGACAGCTCATACAATTCACTTCATATCATAGAATAATAAAACCAATGAGGTAGGAAGTAAAGGTTTTAGTCCACCTTTACAGTCAAAGCAGGGGCAACACCGAATTCAAACCAGGGCTTTCCCAACTCAGGTCTTCAAAACCCCACAAGGATGAGTGGGGTCCATCCTGTGACCTCTTTCAACATTAAATGTTCTCAAAATGACATTCTTCTCTTACTCCCAGACAGCAGCATTCCTGTTTCTCTGCACATGAAGTGCCATCCCTTTACCTCTTCCTCTCTGCCTGTATTTCCTGAGGAACATGTATCCATTATCCAGAGCTTAGTCATATGACTCATTATGCCAGTCAAATTCCCTAATTATTCCAACAAAATAACAACAGAAAAAAGATATCACATGGTTTCCATGATGGGTAAAGTGAAAATGATCTTCAGAATATCTTATTCACACAGAACTTTTACAAGTTTCTTTTATTTGCTGTTGCTGTATTGGATTACTTAGATTATCAGTAAGACTTACTTCTGACATTATGACAGCCAATCAAGAAAATATGGGAGGTCACAAGTCTATTATCAATAGATTTTCCAACTATATGCATTTGTCTTAACTAAATATCCTGTTATTATGGCTATACATGCTTTTTTTTTACTTTAAAAATACAATCACACAACACTGATTTTCTACTCACTAACACAGGCTTTTTCAAAGTACTCTAGCCACAAGTCTAATCCAGATATTTCAAAATGTTTTGTTTTAGTGCAGATCAACAGTAATAACAGATTAGACAATACCAGCTAGATAGTCTGGAAAACTGAAGGCGTCCCCAACCCTACAAGGAAAGGCATGAACCACTAATCTACTTCAGTACCTGAATTTCAAAAATTAATGTACATAAACTCTTACAGCAAGCAAACAAACAAAAAAAATCCAAGTATTGCATTTTACCAAAATCCTTAAGATTATATCACTAAAAGTTGTACCTTCTTCGGGTTACAATTTGAGCCCTTTTTCATCGTCCTCAGTAAAAATTCTGGCATATTATTTTCAATATCCTCACGTGTTCCCTTTTTGTGCAACACTGCAGCCAAAAATGAGATGACCTTGAGAAAGAAAACAATTCTCAGTGATTATGTACAACAAGAAATTGAATGAGTTCCACTGAAAATAAACATTTAGGACAAAATCCTGGATGTGACTTAGGAAGATGGTTTCAGGGAGGGGGGAGATTGATTTAAAACCAACAAACAAAAACCCTAAAAAAACCAACCAACCAACCAACCAAACAAACAAAAAGACAAAAAAACCCAAACCACAAAACAGGCTCACTTTTTAAAATGGGACCCCCTTCCCTTGGATTCCCATGAATTCCCTGAATTCATGATAACAGCAATTAATGGCTCTATCTCACTCTTTCATCCTCTAAGTGGAAAAGCCCTGACAGAGTACAAATAAGCCAGGAAAAAACAGAGATGAAGCACACCTTGCAACTCTCCTCCTTTTGAGGGCACTTGAATCTCAGTTGAGAATTCAGAAGAAAATACACTTGCTGACTATACTCTCAACACTATTTTTCCAATAGGAAGAAGATGCTTAACCTAGAGGTTTGTTTTTTACTAATATGTCTTCTTCTGTATGTTCCATTCCTTCAAATTGCTGTTGTTAACATCAAAACCATTTCTTTCTGCTGTGCCATATTCTCCCACCTGCCTCAGACTGGTCAAGGTGATTGTGAGAAGACACTTAATATAATCCATCACCGCAAGGACAAACAGCACAGGCTATTCCAAACTGCTCCCATGGCAAACCAAAACAGGAATAAGGCAGAAAGAGATCTGGCCAGAACATGTAAATCTGTAAAATCCACTTGGGATAAATGGTATCTGTGGGACTAAGCAGCAGCACGGACCAGATGCATCATCAGAGAGGTGCCCTTCTTTTGAAAACTCAACAGAGTTGAGTCAGAGCAGCCAGCTCCAGACGCTGCCTTCTGCAGCTGCTGCACAGCTGCTCATAGCAGGGCAGAGGTAAAGCTATCAACTCTTGATTGCCAAAAAAAAGAGCTGTTTCCCTCTAATGACGGGGAGAAAGAGCCATTCAGGAGGTCAGAAGTGCAGCAAAAATACCTGCCTGAGAAAAGTTAGATGGACAGAAGAGAGAGGAAATCCATCATTAACGTGGCAGCAGGGTGGGAGAGAGGTACGTTGAATAAAAGTAACCCAAACATTTTTATACGTAGTATTTCACATAAGTTGAGGTTAAGAGGAACTGCAACTTTGCATATGTTGTTCTATTAATGACTTTTAATTATTTTTTTAACTCCTTTTGAGAATGAGAATTAAATTCAAGTGAACAATAAAACTCCACGTCTCTTCCAGATCCTTCATTTTTGGAAGCATTTGTATCACAAATTTCTAACAATAGCAAAGGCCATAACATGGCAACTCACTCTGAGAAATCTTCAGCTCTTCCAGACAAAACAAGAAACAACCTAGAGGCCTTAACAAGAAACTAATTTACTGTATTCACACTAAGAAACAACATTACTCTACTTGTCTCCACCTCAACTTCAGCTTGAATTGAAAGAGCCCTACAGTCAAGCCAATTTAAGCCAAAATCAGTTCAGAACTACAAAGAACATTAAAATTCAAAAGGTTTCCAGAAAAGTCTCTGTCTCATAAATCATAATTCAGAAACAATAAGGTTCAGGTAACTGACAAGCATAAGTTTTCTATAAGACTCAATCAGTTACTCGATGAAGTTTAACTAGTATTTATTTTTTAATATGTACTAACCTTTCCTAAACAAGTGAATTCTTCCCTTTACTTCAAATCCACTGAACTGCCTTTTTCATACTGAACTAGAACATAAACACTGTGTTTTATAAAAAATCACAATATCACAGAATCATAAAATGGTTAAGGGTTGGAAGGGACCTCAAAGATCATCTAATTCCAATCCCTGCAATTGGCAAGGGATTCATTAGATCAGGCCTTCATCTAACCTGGTCTTGAACATAAAGGGTACTGGAAGGTCTCCCCAGAGCCTTCTCTTCTCCAGGCTGAACTGCCCCAACTCTCTCAGCCTGTCTTTGCAGGACATCCCTTGGATCACCTTTGTGGCCCTCCATCTTTCTGGTGCTGATGACCCCTGAGCTGGACACTCCAGGTGGGGTCTCAAAGGGGAGAGGGACAGAGTCACCCCCCTTGACCTGCAGTCCAGGGCTAAAAGGACACACTGTTGGCTCATGCCCAGCTCTTCACCCACAAGAAGCCCCAAGTCCTTCTCTACAGCACTGCTCTCAATAAGCTCTTCCCCCAGTCTGTGCTCACATCTGGGATTGCCCCGACCAAGGTGCAGCACCTTGGACTTGTTGAACCTCATGAGGTTCTCATGGGCCCACTTCTCAAGTTTATCCAGGTCCCTCTGGATGGCATCCCATCCTTCTGTTGTGTCAACTGCAGTGCTCAGCTTTGTGTCATCTCCAGACTTGCTGAGGCTTCACTAATCTCACTGTCTGTGTCACTGGCCTTTCTTTTCTGACCTCTGTACTTACAGAATCCCTCCTTGTTATTCCTCACAAAAGATGTTTTTTGAAACCTCTACCTTTCTTCTGCAAATTTGACACAGATTAAAAAGAAATAACCATCAGATGTGAATTCCACATAGGAACACACTATCAGCTCTGAGATTCAAAAAACGAAAGCGATGCAAGCAAAACCACAGTTTACTATTATCTTCTATATATACTTCTTACCACATGAAATCAGATTATTTGCAGTTCTGAGTAGAAACAGCCTTCCACAGCCTTAAACTGCTATGGCCATGCTTCAAATGGATGCAGTTTATTTTTAACAAGCATCTGTTAGCAGACCATCATCAGCTACACACACAAGTCCATGATGTACCCCTAAATGCTCTATGCAGAGTTTTGTCAGCTTACTCACTCTTCCTGTCAAGTTTGCTACAGAACAATACTTTGCCCTGAAAGGCTTCTGTCAACATTCTCCTAAATGGAAGGGCAACAGATACCACAGCCAATACTTGTCAGTGAAGGAATGAGCTTGCACTGGACAGAGAAAAAGGAGAGGGGGACAAAGACTAGATACCACCAGACTCAAGCTGCTAACTTTAAACTAGACAGATTACAGTGAATTTCCACACATAGAAACACCCTAATTATAGCAAAATAAATAAACAATGTGGGCCACACAGAATCAAAGCATAACAAAAAAAATCCAGCTATACTGTGTCCTCTCATCAACCCAGCTGCACTTCCAAAAGAGTGATAGAAGTAGGATGGCCCAGAGATGGGAGTAAATGTGCCTGCTACTTCCCATTCTCAGAACAGGGAAACTATTTGTTTTCAGGAAAAAGAGAGAAGAGACATTTTAAAAGCTAGAGTCAGGTAAGGGCCCCAAGTTCTTTCAGTGCACTGCAGTGCAAATTCCCTTCAGGATAGACAGGTAGCAATCCTCAAAGTAAATTCAACACAGTAAACCAAAAGGGGCCACATCCCAGTTTTATGGCTGTCAGGAGTGAATCTTAAATCAGCAATGGCTCCTGGCTCTGAGTGCTGTCCTGGATGGTCATGTCCTGGCTCATCCAACTCCACAATAACAAGGGCAGGTTAAGCTTCACAAATACGGGCTCACAGTTCTCAGAAAACATGCTGTTCTCCCACTGTAACAACCAAAAAGAATACCTGTATTGTTTTTCCAAGGCCCATATCATCTCCAAGAATACACCCCCTTCTATTAGCATAGTGTCTGTACAGGAACTGGGCTCCTTCCCTTTGATAATCACGCAGGTATCTGTTAATTGTATAAGGGATAAAATCGCCATTGTCCGATAATTTAAAAGGAACTGCAGGAGATGGAAGATTTTGGTCAGGAAAATACGGCTTTTCCAGATCACCATCATCAAATATTAAGCTTTTCCAGGGTCCTCTACTGTCTTTGACTCTGCAAAGTTCAGTTACTAATATTTTCCTTTCTTCAGACTCCAAGAATAATACAACAGCAAATGATTTTCCATTCTTGTCCTTTTCAAGTGAGGTTATTACTCCTTCCTGAAGTTTTCCATCTTCAAGACAAGGGGCAAGGCATTTCTCCCCAATACGCCAACAATCTATAAAAAAACCAAACACACAGTGATAAACTGGCCTGACATACAAAGTGTTTAATTTCTTCACACTATTAAAACATAGGATGAAAATTTATTTGACAAAATGCATACATCTTAAGATAAAACACTTTACTGAAGGAAGCACTAAAATAAAGAAACCAATTACTGTTTACAACTAAACATAAAATTATAGTTTGCTCTAACACTGCTATTTTATAAATACCAGAAGGTGTATATGGAAAAAAAAAAGTAAAAGCCAGATTCTGATGCATTAAGTTGTTACACAGTGGCTTCACACAGGCAAACACAGCAGTGCACATCAGCATCAAAAGAACCTACATCATACTGACAACAAAAACCAGAAGAAAAAAAACTATCAGAAAACACAAGGCCTTCACTCTTCACAGCAAAAAGAGAAAGACTTCATAAATAATGGATGCATGGAGTTTTCCGAATCCGAACTGAGAGAGGGGTGTCCTTCTGAGTTTGTAGAAAAAATTTCCACCTTTCCCCTGCTCAGCCATCCCAAAACAAAGGGATACATGATTAATTTCAGGACTTTAATTGCTTCTTATCTATTTGGTGTAATAAGTTTTGCTTATTTGCTAAGGAAGTCATTATCAATGACAATGAGAGGCGCCTAAGGTTTTTCCAGGAAAGAGCAAGCCAGAGGGAATCTTGCACAAGAGCAAGTATTCACACTTCAAGCTCATGGCCAGTGGTAGTACACGTTTCTGGGCACATCAACACAGACACTTTTCAGAGGCAAGGAAAAGAGGAAGTCCTGAAGGCAAGAAACTCCACTTCACCCATTTTAATGTCTCTGTGTGAAAACTCCATGGAGATTCTCCTCAGCAGGTCCTGGAAGCGCTCACAGGACTATTCTCCACAATGTATCAGTTAAATTGGTGATAACTACAGTTCATTTTTTAAAATGGATTGAGTTATATACCCTAAAACAAAAACATCCATGTAGCCCACTATTCTGCAACCAGCATTGGCCATAACCTGACATGAGGTAACAATAAAAACAGTACAAACATAAGAACATCCCTCTTCTAAAACTCTTTGACCCTCAAGTATTCTTTTAGCTACAGAGATTCCACAGGCCATGTATGACCTGTATGACCAGCAAACCCCAGCTGACTGCTCTCTTCTCAGTAGCTCCATTTCCCTTTCAACATACGCAGATTTCTTGCATTCAGAGTCTTCTGACCACAAATATTGCAGGTCTGCTCTTGACACCTGTCACGTTTTTGCCTGATATGAACTTCGGTCCCAAGACTCAAACTGAAGGCCCACTAGTTCTTACACTAACAAGGACATAAACCACGACCTCACCACTTTGCAGACCTCTTTAATAATGCCCCCCATCACCCTCACTTGAGGAGTTCAGCCCTGCACCTTGGGACCTGCACAGAAGCTGCTCCATACCTTCGGCCATTCCCTCAGAACTTCTCCAAGACTTGAAGCTCAAACGGATCTTCTCGAGGCAAAGGGTGAAGTACAGGTTCAACAAATCCCACAGAACTAGTCCTTAAAGCTCTCACTGTCTGTACCAGTGTCTCACACATGGTCAAATCAACACAAAAAGGTGCGTACATTAACTTCTCCCAGTAGCATCTAAGTCTTTCAACAATTTCATAAAAGCAGGAACTAAAACTGAAAAACTGAGACAGGCTGTGTACAGCACACTGATAAATATGCAAACCAAAGCCTAAAACGGGAGAGCATTTCTGTAATTACTTCCTTTTACAGTAATATCTGCAGTGACACGCAACATTAGTTTAGAGACTTTCAAGTTAAATCCACGATTCAAGACGACAGCATCATTGTTTTCAACTAAGCATTTATGTGAGGTTAAGGAGTTGCACAGGACTCATCACAACTGGAGTTCCAGGTGTAAAGTGGAATAAACCAAACTGGGCAATAGCACTTGTGTTACCAAAGCTCCAAATCTAGTGAGAAACAAAGAATAAAATGAGAAAAACGCACGCACACACACAAAAAGTGGTATTAAGAACACCATTGCTACAAAAGCCTAGCAGGCCAAATTGCTACTTTAACTAGCCTGACTCACTAAGTTCGTGGGTTTTGAACTAGAACCATAATTTATGTGGAGCACTGTCTTTAAAAACAAAGAAAATTACCTGGTATGGCCTCCTGGCATGGGTACACCTGCCACCATGAAGAAAGCTGGTATTTCAGATGCTTGCCTACACTTACTCCTTTTATTACAGTTCCAAAAAATGTGCCATTGTCTGCTTTAAGTGTGCTAAATCATTGTGATAATGGCCTCCTGTCACACACTAGCTCCTTTCAACCACTACTCCTCCAAAAAAAAAAAAAGGCGAAATTATCATGAACGCTTCTAACTACTGAAAGCTGACCACTTAATGCAGAGCGCCAGGGTTTCTGGGGGTTTTTTACACTTCAATAAACGACTGTAAAAGCAAAATTCAAGGATACCGTAAAGTAACACACACGGAAGACGCTTACCTGGGGCACCATCATCACACATTTTAACTCTGGGCCGCGCAGAGCCCAAAGGAGCCTTGTGGGCGGAGGCACCGGGGGCGGGCCGGCACCGCCGCTCTGGGGACCCAGCACCGCCGGGAGGGGGCTCCGAGGGAGCCCGGGGGGCGCCTCGGGGTAGGGCCCCGCCGCTCCCGGCCCTGCTGCGGCCCCGCTCCGACCCCGGGACGGCCCCGGGACAGCCCCGGCCCAGCACGGCCCGGCCCGGCCCGGCCTGCCGGGCGGTGTGGGGGGGCCGCGCGGGTATCGCGAGAATTCAAAGGAGCCGGCGGAGCGCGGGAGGTCTCGCGAGGATTGGGCGGTGGGGGCGGTACAGAGCGGCCGCCAGGGGTGAGCGGGGCACGGCGGGGCGGGGCGGGGGGAGCGGGTTGGGCACGGCTGGATGTGTGTGGGGAGCGGGCAGGGCCGGGCTGTGTG